ACCTGCAGCATGTGCTACGGCGTTTTTCTCTTAAGACAAAAGATAATTAATGTAGGGGCTATTTTTTCTAAACTAAAACTTCAATATTCAGGTTTTACTGCAGGATTGCACTTTTTGATAAATAAGTGGGTTTTGCATTGTAGTTTGGGCACTTGGTCTCTAAAAGGTTCTTTTTTTTTTTTTTAAATTTTATTTATTTGTTTATTTATTTTGTGTGTGTGTGTGGCCAGCTCAGCCCACCTGGGGGCGGGGCTGGCTGGCATGTGGTGCTGGGGGATTGAACCGCGGTCCCTGTGCTTTGCTTGGCTTAAGCTTGTTCTAAGTAGGTGCTTTAGACCACTGAGCCATCTCACCAGCCCCTCTAAAAGGTTCTGATCTCGAGACAAAACTCTGCCCAATGTCTACAGCAACCTACATACCCTTCTTAAGAGGCAGACGACTGCCCAACAGACTAACAGCAACAAGACAAAGACCCTTTAACTAAAGCTTACAGACACATCACCATGTGACAGATGAGGAAACTGAGTGGATCTTCCACCACAGCCACAGGTGGTAAGATGCCACAAAGCCTAAGGCTCATAAAGGCTGCTCAGAGGAGAACCTGAGGGAAACTGCTTGCGCTTGCCAAGAAAATGCTCTGCAATAATCAGAAGCCCTGGATAAGTCCAAGGGGATCAAAGAAGCAATAGCAGAAATTGTTTGATCTTGACCTTTATCTTTTTTTAATCTTCATCTTTAATGAGGACTTGAAAAAAGATGTTTTTTAAACAAAAATACGCACAGCCAGAGAAAACAGTCCCGGGATGGAGTTTACAAAGAGTCCTTCATCTCTGACACACACACTGTCTCTGCAGCAACTCCTTTTAAGGACAGCTGAACCCTGGTCCCTGCATAAAGACTGGGGCAACCTATGGGACATTTTATGGCAGTTAGCAACCACAAAAGCACTGAATACAACAAAGCAGGCCTTGGATTAGAGCAAAAGTTAAAAAAAAAAATACATAAAAACAATCTAAATGACAAACAATATGAAAAACTATATTCATGCCAAAATTACTAAGACAATCTAAAATTAAAAGTGGTGTCCGAAATATTCAACCATTTCCTTAAATACTTCGAAAAACAGCATCTGGCTTTAGCTCTTTAACAACAGGCTATGCTTCAACATACATTCCAATTATATTTTTCTCTAGTTGACAAAATTATATCAAACATAATTAAAATTTACTTAAAAATATAATTCCCTTCTTCAAATACATTTTATCCTCCTAGATTTTACTTTACGAATCTGACTTCACTAAACTTCACTTTTATGTGTGAGTAAAGATTCTGTAATTGTTTTGGGATTTTTTAATCAATGAAGGTTTTTGTTGTGGTTGATATACTGTGTCAACTTAGGAAGTTTACAAGTTTAATTCAGTGACTCAGCAAAGAGCCAGGATTCTTAGTTTATAAACATCCTCATGCTGTATAAGAGGAGGGCATGGACATTGTGTGAGTTCTACACCCACAGCCCAGGGTAGCTGGTTTATAATATAAAGAGGGGAGGGGGGCTGGCTAGAAGCCACAGCTGCTGCCCTTCCCCTTGCTCTTCAGTTTCTGCTGCCATGAACTGCTGCTCTCTGTCATCTGCCACTCTGCCTGGCAGTCAGCCTGGTGTAAAGTGAAACTTCTACTAACTGTGATCTAAACAAACCTTTCTTTCCTTAATCTGGGGTGCCGGGTATTCTGTCCCACAAGTAAAAAGTAACTGAAACAGAATTTGGCACCAGGAGTAGGGTCGTTGCTGTGACTATACCTGACAATACGGGTTATGAGCTTTTGGGAATGGCTAATGGGAAGAGATAAGAAAGGTTTGGAGAGGTCACCAGCTAGCAAAGAGCTAGAATGCCTTTGGCTCTTCTGTATGGGAGATTCTGGTCAGAGATCAAAAGACCAGAACACTGATAGAAAGCCTGCCTGTAAAGACCAGACTGGGGAGGTTTCTGCTGGGAAGAAGGACTGCACTGGTTGTTAAGACTCCAGATAACTTGTGTTTTGGCTTGGCAGAAACTTTGCATTTTTCTCGTGTCCAGAAACTTTGCCTGAGACTAAGAGTAGTGGACTGATTAACCTTGCAAAGAATTTCTCAGGGCAGTCAAATGTTGAGGCAGTGGCATGGCTATTGTTGGGGGCTTTTAGTCAGATTTATGTTGAGAATCAAGAACAGACAGCCCATCAGGATGATTTAAAATGTTGTGAATTTGGCCAAAAACAAACCACCAGAAAAGCTGTGGACTGCAAAGATTGAGTTGAGATCTCCACTGCTCAGTAGAAACAGGAAAATAAAAAAGATGACCTGAGGGCATCACAGGCGGTGGCAGGTTCCTGCCATTTGCAGCCTTAAAACTGCAAGGGTAGGGCCAGGGGGAAAGCTCAGTGGAATAAGTATTTGCCTGGCAAGCACAAAGTCTTGAGTATGATCCCTGGTTCCAGAAAAAAAAAAAAAAAAAAAAAAAAAACATGCAAGGGTAAGGGACCTTTGCTTTGAGGAAAAAGCCACAGAACTCCATGTTCCAAGAAGGAGGTGGCAGCCACACCACTAAAAAGCCAGTCCCCCTAAAAAGCCATAGGAGCTACCAGCAGAAGTGTCATGGGGTGGAGCCAGATAAGGCCTTTCGGAGCTGTCTCAATTACTCTTTTCTTGCTGCTGGGACAAATACCCAATGCTCAAAATGAAGGAAGGAACGGTGTATTTAGCTCAGTTAGTGGAAGTTTCAGTCCATACTCAGCTGCTCCAACGCAGAGAGGCACCTGGCAAAGGGCAGCCGTTCACGGTAGCAGAAGACAGCAAAACAGCAAGAGCAAAAGGGAGGAGTAACAGCAACAATAACAGAGAGGAGTCTGTCTCCTTTAAATTGCATTCAGGCTATCCACCCTGGGCTGGGTGTAGCTCTCACACTCATAATTCCAGCAGTACTCAGACCCATAATCCCACCCAGCCTTGGATTATAAATTAATCACAAACTGTGGAACTGCGCCTCAGTGACTGCATGAGGCTTTGGGGGGGGGGGACAAATACACACAAACCATAACAGGAGCTTACAACTCATTACAGATTGCTTCAGATGTTCCACACAAAACTACAAGAGTTAATGTTTCCCCTTCCATATTTCAGACTTGCTTTGGTCCCTATGCTTTGTACCCTGCCGCTTGTACCTTTTAAAATGGTAGTGTATTTCTTGTGCCATTAAATGTTACAAGTGTTTAACTTTTCATTTGTACAGGGGCTCACAGCTTAGAATCTGCCTTAGATCTTGGAGACTTCGGGCTTGCACTTTTGAGCAATGCTAAAATTGTTAAGACTTTGATAATCTTAAGAGACTGACTAGGGAGGTAGCTAGTCAGATATCTCAGACTGATAGCTCAGTAGATTAAAGATAACAGCAGATTAAAGCACCTGCTTAGGCAGACTCAGGGACTGGGGTTCGATCCCCAGCATGCCATGCTGGACCTGCCCCCAGGGCATGCTGAGATAGCAACTGAGACTGGGCCTGGTGGCACACGCCTGGAATCCCAGCACTTACAAGGCTGAAAACAGGAGGCTCACTATGAGTCCAATCTGTGTAGTGAAACCCTATAGATCATGTACTAAATATAAAAAAATAATTAATTTTAAAAAAAGGTTCACTAAAATGCCTTTTGCATAAAGGGATGTGCATGAATATTTGGAGGGCAGTGTCCAGTGGCAAAATATTATGGTTCTAACACAATACAGTGTTCAAGTTGCAAAATGTTAATAAGCATGTCTATGTAACTAAAACCTGGCTTAAGGAAATGTCTGGCTACCACAGTAACAAGGGGTGGATTGTGCTGGCTGATACAGTGTGTCAACTTGAGAAGTTTAGAAGTTTAACTAAGTGACTCAGCAGAGAGCCAGTATTCTTGGTTTGTAAACATTCTCATCCTGAGCAAGAGGAGGGCATGGACATTGTGTGAGTTCTACATCCCCAGCCCAGGGTAGCTTGTTTATGGCATAATGAGGGGTGAGAGGCTGGCTAGAAGTCATAGCTGCTGCCCTTCCCTTTATACTTTGCTGTTTTCTGCTGCCATGAACTGCTGCTCTTTGCCATGTGCTGCTCTGCCTGTTAGACAGCCCAGTATAGACTGAAACCTCCACTAACTGAGCTTAAATAAGCCTTTCCTTCCTTAATTTTGGGTGTTGGGTATTTTATCCCAAAGACGAATAAAAAGTAACTGAAACATTTTTACTAAATAAAGTGGTTTTCCCATAAATATGAGATTTTGCTATGAAAACACTGTAAAACCTAGCTGGCTTTTTAAAAAACTAATCTCATTATTCAGTCATCATTTTAGCATAGCCTACTATGCCAAGCGGCTCTGATGGAGTAGAAATTGAAACTTTGACTGTGTAGTAGCAAAGTTTACATAAAGGGGAAAAAAAAGCCTGATGCAAATACTTCTCCAGTACAGCATTTATGATCTGTTTACAGCGATAACTTGCATACCCGTGTTCCCAGCAACGTCATTCACAACAGCTGAATCCCGGCAGTGGCCTATCTGTCCATCAACAGATGAATGGATAAAAAGGTAATGCTGACACACAAGGGAATCCTACTCTGCCATAAAGAAGGATAAACTAATGGACGCACCCTGAGGCTGCAATGTTAGCTGAACTAGATCCGACACACAAGCTCAAACAGTGCATGGCTTCTCCTCCATGAGAAACCAGCATTATAAATAAAGAGCAAAGCAGAAGATAAATCATGGGAAGTAGGAGGACAGAAACTTCTCTAAGGGAAAGGAGACAGAAGAGATGGAAGGAGGAGTGAGGGGAGGGAGAGACGATGGAAAAGAAATTAGGACGGGCTCTGCACATGGACCAGCTCCACACACAGCAAGTACCGTGGACGGACAGAAAAGGACTCGATTTACATGATTTACCCAGTTTTCCCGAATGCGTCTGATGCCTCCACGTTCTACCGCTGAGCGTCACTTACCTTCCGATAAATCATGTGGCACATGGCTACTCTCAGCCTCATCCCGGCGCACTGAACATGGTAAAAATACAAATGATGCAATATGGCAAGAAAGAGCGTGCAGACGGTGAGCACCGTGGCGTAGCCGTAGGCTCTGTACAGAGCCACGGAGTCCTGGGGATCATAATTCTCAAAGTAATTAATAACTTTCCCCAAAAATAAGGGCTGAATTACTTTGATGCTTTCCTAAAAGAAGAAGAGAAAAACATTTATTAGGAATATAAACCACATCACTCTTCTCAACACAAGCTGTACTTTTCTTAGCACATTAAAAAGGCCTTTTCACTAACCTAAAAGAAACACAGATTCCCCTGCTGAGTTAAGTTTCTGCTCCTTCCCGCCTTGCCCATTCCCCGTGATATGCCCCAGGGGTGGGACCTTCCTCCCTTGCCTAGATACCTGCTGACCCCCAAGAGCCGAGACTTCCTCAGTCCTATACTCCCTATATATATCCAGCACCTCCCCTGAATAAACGAGCCTTGATCAGAAAAAAAAAAAAGAAAGAAAGAAAGAAAGAAAGAAAGAAAGAAAGAAAGAAAGAAAAGAAAAGAAACACAGAACTGTTTACCTCTTTAAAACAGATGGTAGTTTTAACCTAAAGTCAAAATTGTGAACTCGAGGACAATAAAGTTTTAGTACACTGTGCTTGGTCCACTCCAGATGCTCAATAAATATTATAGCCAGGCCTTTAAAACTCATCAGGCAAACTACCAAATAAATCTTGGCCTAACAGGAGTAAGGAAGAAAAGCAGCCAAAGAGGACAGCGGTCAAATGTGCTTACCAGGACCACCTCGGCCTATAGGGCTTGGCCATCTCTTCCCACTCCTTCAGCCCTCATAGGCAGAGATGTGGGAGCCACCAGATCAGAAAAGAGAACCTCCCAGTCTCTCCCAACCCAAACTGCACAGGCGGTAGGGCCAGGAGAAGAGGATCCAGGTTGACGATGTTTCCAAGCTCTGGCCCTAGGGCTGCAGCTTCAGTAAGCCTCTGCCCCCAGAAGCTAGGAGGTACCCATAGCACTTGCCTCCTTCACTCTGAGGACTCTGGAGTCAAAGAGTAAACATAGTACATGCCGGGCTGAGCTACGGTCACCAGCGGCTTGCTATCAGCCTACTACCATAGGTGCTGGTTCTAAAGAAACAGCAGTAACCGTCTGTTCTCCACAGCCACGCTGGGAGGCACTGGGCCTTCTTCCCAGTCAGGAGAGAGGGGAAACAAGTCTTGCTCCCCACAGGTAACAGCAGAGCAAACAAAGCTTGGGCCTGGTACACAAGCAGCAACAGACTTTCCTGACTAGTTCCGGGGCCTCTCCCTGCCAGCAAGTCACTCCTCCCCATCACCTCCTTCCTCCCTCCAAACCCTCGCAAGGGACCTGACCATCAAAGAAAATCAAACACCCACCAGCAAACCCCAGTCACCAAAAGTAAACACACAGCCCGCCCATGTCATTTCCTCCTGACTTCGCAGAAGAGATAACACCAAAAGTTTGTAAATCTCTCAAGAACTGGACTTGGAAACAAGTTTTTGCTTTGAAGCAACTTGTCCTTATTAACATAGACATGGCAAATGACCAACAGGTTTGCTATTGTCAGCTGTCTTCTGTCTGGGTGAAGAAGCCATGCATGGGAGGAGGGGGAACAAAAGGAAGCAAAGCTAACACACAAACTTTTCCCAAGCAATCGGTGCTCGGGCAGATGTTTACAGACAGTGCTGCAGTCTCTGAAATGGGCCCTGACCTAGGCTCGCACGCACGCTGCTGACCTGCCGTGTGCTTACAGGTGCACGTGAGCAGAGACTTACCAACCTCATCGGCTTCCAAGGAGCCATGGGAGGTTTTATGCACTGGTCAGAGGTAAGAAACGCTGTTCAATAACACAGTCACCAGCGAGACCATCAGACACCAGAATTTGGGGGCCACTGTCCATTTCCAGCATGCCCAGTCATTCATTGCAAGAGACACCAGGAATTGAGGAAGCACCCTACACAGAGGGTCATGTGGACAGTTTCAGCGCATGCTGAAATGAAACTCTAGGGTCCCCAGACAGGCAAGAAGCCGAGCACACAGATGGCCAGTCCCAGCTCGGCATGGGCCCTGGAAGCCACGTGCAACCTGGAGAAGGAGATGACGCCTGCCAGAGCCCTGGCTACAGGGCCTTACCAGAAGAGCCCCGGAAGGTGGGGCCGCACGGCCAGAGGTGCAGTTCTCCTGACATGGGTTTAATTCCAACAGAGAAAGTGAGAACATAATGACAGACGTTACAAAATAACAGACAAAACAGGTACCAAAGGAAGGCAAACCACTACCAGCTGTCTGAGTTTTCCTGCTGAGAGACAGCATCTGACAGGAAGTGCAGTCGAGAAAGCAGGCCGTTGATGAGTGACCAGTCTGTGGCCCATTGTCACCCTCCTTGGTACAGACCTACGCATGTCCCATCCTAACCCTCAACTAATAAATAAACAGCTGGGACAATACTCATTATCAAACGACAACCAACCAAATTCAAACTTTCTGGTTTATCAGGGAAAAGATCAAAAGTCTCACAAATCTTAGATACCAATTTGTATCCTATGGAAGAATCTTTCTACAAACCAGGAACATAGTTATCTTTCTACAAATCAACTAAGAATAGAGCTCAGTCCTCCACAAGAATTCTCCGGCCGGGGAGACAGTGCAGTTGCTTAAGTGCTTGCCTGGTATGCGCAAGGTCCCAAGCTTTATCCCTGGTACCCCCCTCTCACACACACGCAAGAATTCTCAACTGTGAAGCCATGTGGGGCTGCTTTATACTTCTCAGTAGAGTATTCGGTTTAATTAACTCAGCCCCTGAAAACCTGGCAGTGTGGTAGCTAGGCATGGTGCTCCATACCTGTAATCCTGGTATTCTGGGAGGAAGAGGCAAGAGGATTTCAAGTTCAAGCCCAGCCTGGCCAATTTAGCGACTTAGCAAGACCTACTGTCAAAACTAAACAATAAAGGCTGGAGATGTGGCTCAGTACAAAGGGCCTGAGTTCAATCAACAACACAGGAAAAAGTGAGAAACACCTAAGTGGGGCCCTGTCCTCAGAGTAACTTACTATGGGATTTGATGAGGCAAGGTTCCAGGGGTCAGAGCACCCTCATGCCCCCGAGGACCTGAGGCCTTCCTTACCCAGGGCCTCCATGCGTAACCTATGAGAGCAGAGAAAACTGAGGACATAGAGCCAGGCTAACAAAGGAGAGCATGCTGGGGCACAAAATAGAGACAGAAGCCAGGGAGCTTGCAGGGGAGATGAGCTGGAGGGGATGAGGCAGGGTGCGGAGAGCCAGATGCAAGGAGGAGTACAATGAATCTGCGGAACTCAGAGGACCCTGGAGACACCGTACATCCTCCTTGAACTGCGTTCTGTGGCCTGACCGCTCCTCAGAATCGATCACCAGGAAGGTTCAAGAACTCACTGGTCAACACAGATCTAGATCCCACTGACGGGATGGGGACTGACAGTGCCCGATCCTGCCCCAGCCAAAGATTCTGATGGACACACCAAGCCCCAAAGAAGCATCGATATCCTGCCCTGCCCCGGCCCTGTGTCCCAACCTGCAGAGGTTGGAGGGAGACCCACTGCGCAGAACGTACGGGAGTGCGCCAGGTTCTAAGGGGCCTGGGGTCGTATACTAATGCATCGGAAAATAATAACCACACAGGAACCCAGAATCTTGAGCCTTCAACCAGAAAACAGACCTACCGCTCAGCACAAGAAAGAAAATTCTTCAGAAAAGCCTGCATATAGAAAGTGAAAGAACAAAAGACAATTTTGTTGGTAGTACTAGAGACTGATGCCAGAGCCTCGTGTGTTCTATTCAAGGGCTCCACCACTGAGCCACACTGACAGCTCCTTTTATGTTATTTTGAGACAGGATCTCACTGAATCACCCACAGTGGTCTAGAACTGGCAACCCTCCAGCTCCAGCCTCCAGAGGAGCTGCGATTACAGGCACACATCACCACACCCAGGATGTTTGCTTTTAAAGTTACCTCTAAAAAGAGAGAAAGGGTTCGTAGAAGGGACAAGGTCAGTCTTCTTTAAAAATAGCCTCTGTGGTCTCTTTTAATTTGAAACCTTGAAAATACTACACAGAATTATAAAACATAATTAAACTTTTAAAAGGCAAATCTTAAAGCTTGAGGGTGAAATGAAGCAAATGTATACCCCAAAGTATACACACATACATATATATAAATATATACTCATCTAGTTGTTGATACAACCATACCCAAAAAAAGCTATTAAGAGTGGTTTTAAAACAAAATAATTTGAAGATGTACTCCCTGTAGGATAGAGCTCCCTTTTATGAACTACAAAAGTATCTTAAATGACTTTCAGAAATCGTATTATGGCTTCCAGGATTGATACTATAAAATAAAATGAATTAATATCACAACATCAGTAGGAGCTGACATTAGGCATGTAAGTTAACAGAACAGATAAAAGAAGAGACAGATAAAAGATTAAAGAAATTACATAGGCAGGGCAGATAGCCAGCAGGCACAAGGTCCCCAGTTTGATCCCTGGTACCACAAATAAATAAATAATTACACAAAAGAGGCCAAGGAGATAGCTCAGTAAAATAAGCCCTTGCCTGGCAAGCGAGGAGTCCTGAGTTCAATCCCCAGTACCGCAAAAAAAAAAGAAATTACACAAAAACACTAGTATTATGAATATGATCTGGAAATACCCAAAGAAACCCAGGAGTTCAAATAAGTTTATCTTTAAAATATAAATACTTTCCTTCTAGTTTTGTCCCTTACAAAAGCCAAAAAGCAACTCAGACTATGGCATTACACTACCAAGGACAACGTCCCAAGAAAAAGGGTCCGCGTGGCTTAGAGAAATGGCTATATTCACAGCAGGGGTGAAGCCTGCACAAGCTGAGCTGAAAGCACTGGGCCACCACAGAGCAGGACGCTGGCAAGAACAAGCAGCGCATATGCAAAAGCTTCTAGGCCTAGCCCTTGGGGGCTCACGCAGCCGACAGGCCAGCACAGCACGGACCGGGGACTGCGATGGAAGAAACAAGGAAGCCACACGAACTCCATGAGCTCATAAAGACTCTCATCAAAACAAGCAGTAAGAAAAAGCTCAGCCCCAGAGGACAACGCTAGAGACCCACTCATCTTGAAAACTATTTTTTTCTTACAGGGAGATA